ACTTCCGTAAAGTCAACTGAAGTTACTTCAGCTGTAAGGGACAGTATGGTTAATTGCAAATGTTTGGAATAGGTCAAATCAATATTCCTACTCTGTAAACTTCAGGTAAACGATAAAGCTTTGGAAACTGTGGTTTCAGCAAGTCGAATGCGTTTGAAAATCAGTGGGTATAAAATGCCATTTTTTAAGCGGACCTAGTAATTTTGACAAGACTTTCCTTATTTAAAAGGTTGTATGCTTGCTAGTTCCCCACCCCTTGAACTTGATCGTATCAACCAGTACGGTCTTTATATTGTCTGCAACTTGTCTTATTCAGCAAAATGATTACAGTAATTTCACTTGCCTACGGAAGATAAGTCATCAGTTTTTCTAAGATTTTCTCCCGTCTGTATGTACCTTTTTGCTAAGGAATATTTTAAAATAGGAGCCGTGTTAGTATTCTTGACGCAAGCAGACATGTGTTGATTCATTTGTTGGACAGCTGACAATGAAGACGGACAAAAAAATGAGCTTCTGAAGCTCACTTCCTACGTCATCCGCCTGGTTTTGCTTTGTGAATGACAAAACCTAGGACTGAGCAAATAACTCTCCAGACGTAATAAGGAAGAGACAAAGGTGTGTTGTTCATGTATGGTTATAAATTCAACAACGTAGTTCACTGGAAGCGCTTTGGCTTACTAGCACAGCCTGTCCAGTTTCTAGTTACATCTTCAGAATCTTCTGAACGCAAGTTTCACAGTCGACTTGCTCCAGGAGTATCATCGCACAGAAAAGAGTTTCGCATATTTTGTCAGTTTGACCTGAAGTCCATCCAGGCAATTTTTGTGATGTCACATTCGTCAATTATCTGCCTGTTCAATCATACGCAATTTCCCTGAAAACAGACCGCAAAAGTGCCTCAGGTATCAAATGGTTTCCATTCATTTATCCGAAGTGTAGCATTCGCTTCAATCATCTTGAGCTCAGAACAGTTGTATCATTGAATACAATTATACGTAAAATAAAAAACCATGCAGAAGTTCATTCACTAGGGTAATGCTGCTGTGTGGTACAACCTAAAAGCAGATCCAGTTCGATGCAGCTTCATTTAAACAAAATATACGTGTTTTCTCCACTTGATAGCAATACATAACTTTATCCAGATTGGACACCCACTATTTCCCGATCGATCCATTGGGTGTACGGCAGTTTGCGCTCTAGTTGAGGAAAAGTAACTGCGTCCAAACTGAACCAGTTGATGCGATGTACATGTTTTCCACTATCAGGAAGGTTGTCGTTTTAAAGTATCCTAAGTTTATTTCACTGTAGAATAACACCACCAATTACATTCCAATCGGTTTAAATCACAGCTGTTTACACTACTTTATAATTAGCTAAAGTGGATGAATTTCTACCGTGAAATGCTCAAAATCTTAATTCCGAGGGATATCAGTTAGACAACTCTCTGTATCCCCAGGTGATTATTGGCATTCACAGTAAAAAACGGTTACTGTAAGTTATTGGTATTAACGCGTGTATTTTCAGAATAGTTATTCCGATATATTTGAAATAAGTCTAATAATGCATCAGTTTTAAGGTTAGCCACCGTTAAACTCTAAACGGTAAATTGAACTGCGCTCATGTTTTCCAATGTAAATTTCGCGGTTACTTTTCAATTGATGATAACAGTATCATCAAATTCAACATACCTAAACAAAAAGCTACCGTTGGAAAGAAATAACAGAGGTTGTGAAATAAATCGCAACAATTTCTCACAAGTTCATTGTGGACAGACTAGGCGAGGATTCAGAATCTACAATAAACATATACTGATAATTATGAGCGAAACGTGCCAGTGAGGATTAAGTCGCTTGGTAATACAACAAAATTATTTTGTATGTTCAGAAGAGACCCAATGGTGAAAAATCAGTTCACGCTGGAATCCACCAACGTTGGTAATGCTCGTCGGTAGTGTTGTTGGAGTCCAGCGTGAACTGAACGAGAAACCCAGGTTGGGCAGTCAATCGGCTGGATCATTTGGTGGTTTCCTCATGACGCAGTTGGTTAGATGGGTAACTAGGTTCAGGTGTTAAATTTCTGAGTTTCTGACGTGGCTTCGTAGCTCAACTGGTAGAGCATTTGAGCATGTTGTTTCTGTCGCTGGTTGGAATCCGGCCGAAGTCCAAAATTTTGCAATTGGGTCTCTTCTAAATTATCAAATCTGCCAAACTACTTATCAGCAACATTTCAACTAGTCGATAATTCCGTCATACAGTTGTGATTGACCGGATTTCTGTCTGAATGTATCTGCCGACAATGCAGCCGTGACTCACAAAACAAAGTTAGTGAGGTAATTGGCTGACACTACGTGACTGACTTTGAAGGTGTTTGGGAAGAAAAGGCTTTCTCATGGAAGTTTGTGTAATTCGCTTGGCTAAAGCGTGTAGTTCAAGTGTCGATGATCCACTAAACAAACACAGCATTTATGTATCAATACCTAACTCTTTCGGAACAAATGGTATTTACCGGTTGCTTATACGGGGTTCACTGCTACAGACTACAGACAACGTGTTGGATATTAGAAGA